CAAAGCACATCAAGCCTGTCTGTCTTAGGCCATCAGTCTACTGCACTAGCATTAGAGTCACTCGGCTGGCTGGTTTTCTGAAGAAAGAGTTCTCTTTAGTAGTTTAAGTGCTAAAATACTTGTGCTGGTGCTAGATATCAGAAGAGTCAATGCAGACACCTGCAGCTGAGTGAATCCACAACAGGTGGCAACCCTGTATAAGGTGATGGAAGAGGGGAGCTGTGGCAGGACGGGGCTTTGAGGAGCATCTGCTGAGATAAAAGGCAGCAACAACTGCCATTGCAATGAATTAACGAGGGAAAACCTGTAATAACCACATCCTCAATTTCATGAGCAGCTAAAAGGAACAGGAGGGAGGATATAAAATCAAAATGTTACCTGGAAGGTTTCTCTGGTGTAGAACTCCTACTCTGAGTTGATTTTTCACCAACATCAGAGTGAGGCACCTGTGACTTTACCCAGCTGATGGGGACCCTCACCTCTCTGTGACCTGTCCTCAGGCTGCATCACCCTGCAGAGGAAAAATGTCTTCCTCGCATCCATTCTGAACCTCCCAAGGTGCAACTTGAGGTGTTTCCCCTTATTTTTTCCATCTGCCAGTGCCAGAAGAGAGGCTCCATCATCTCTCCGACTCTCCATCAGGGCTGCAGTTGGATCTCCCCAGCCTTTCTCCCCCAGACTGAACAAGCCCGTCTCTTGTTCTCAATATATTTATGTATGGTCTTGTTGGGGCTGTCTTCCTTCAGATGGGAATTCAGGGCACAGTTTGAAACAAGCAGGTTTGCTGAAATTTCTTATGACACAGGGGTTTTTTACATAGTGTAGGAACATAACCTTCCCTACCCATGAGGGAAACTAGTAATGTTTTCTCCCCAACCAACTAGAGGCGTTCACATACCGCTGTGAGATTAAATCTGTGTTGGCAGAGCTCAAGTAGAGCTGTCTGTGTAAAGGTTGCCTGTCCTCTGAGTGGGAGCTCTCCTGAGCTGGCAGTTTGAATGCTCAGTTCTTCTGGGGGAAAATAGCTCCACGGTTACAAAAGCTCTTGAACCTCCATGTGAGGCAACCAATCTCTTTCTGAGAGTATGAGGAAACATCCGTTGCAGAGAGGTGGTTTGTAATGATCTGTTATGATGATTTACTTGCAGGAGGCCTGTAGCAGTTGCAGAATAATTGACTCGATAAGTTGCTGGTCTTGCCCATGAAAGCACCGCGTAGAATAAGAGATGCTTCCTACCACGATCAGGCTGATGTGGCCCTGCACATCCATCATCTGTGTCAGCCTGGCCCACACGCGTCAGAGCAGGGGTAAAACCTTGTGCTGGTTTAATGCACTGTCCCAGCTGAGACCAAAGATCCGTCTTGGCTGGTATTCTGACCTCAGGAGGGACTGCTTAGGGAAAAGTATGTGAACAACAGTGCTTTTTCTCCTGAAAAAATGCATGCCACTTGCATAGGTTTGTGGCTCAGGGACTTCCTGAGGAAGAGGTGGAATCTGTCCATTTAATAGATTATCTTTTTCCCCACAGAGCTGAACTTATTCTGCAGCATCCTGTGATAAGACCTCCAGAACTTCCTGGCTCTGCCAGACAGCTTGTGATACAACCGCCTTTTCCATCTTGGGTGGGAGGCCTTTTCACCTTTCATTTGCCAACAGATTCGCTCCTCATCTCTGCAAATGGGTTCTTCCGTCACCCTGTTTAAGCCAGAGGTCTTGTTTCATCTGGGCCATGAGCACAACCTTGCCCTTGGTAGCCCATCCCGTGCCCAACATCTGCCTCTGGTACATGTAATATCCTGGCTGTGTTGGCTCCGTTGTACGTGGCAGGTTCAGCCAGCTCAGCCTGACAAATACAAGGTTGTCTCTGTCTCTAAGTGGAAAAAACAGAAAGGAAAAAGGCAAGGAAGTGAAAGAAAAAAATGCTGGGAAGCAGCAAAGCTGTAAAAGTTGCTTATAACGGCAGGAGCAGCAGGAGCAAGGCACTTGTCTGGTGTAGGAGAGTGTATTTTGAGACCAAAAGGCTTTGAAGAACCCACAGTAAAACACAAGAAAATCCCGAGAGGCTCGAATGTGCCAACACAAATAATTTTCTGCTTTGGTGCCAAGCTAACCGCACCCTGGACCAGTCCCCGTGGACATAGGAGAGCTGCTCCATGGTGGGGACAGCTCTGCCACGCTGTGTGGAGCAGTCTTTGAGGTCTACCTTGGGTGACCAGCTTGCAGATACACCTAGTATTAGCTAGCTCTGTGATGGTCTGTGCTACAGCTCCTTGCCCATTACTCCTGGAGAGTAAATTTAAATTTAGTTTATGTCATGTCATTAACTGAAAATACTTTTATAACAGTCAGAAGCATCTACCGTAGTCAACATCTTGTTCCTTTGAGGCATGACATGTTCTTCCTCCTAGACATTTGTGGAAAATGGTGATTTTGGGCTTAGTTTGGCTTAATTTTGCTCAGGTTTTGGCTTAAACTGAAAGAGGGAGGTGACTTCTGTCTGGAAAACTGTTTGTAAAAACAAATATATGCATATATAAATATATGCTACAAGTCACTACAAAATTACCACTAGGAAAGCAAGTATATATAAGAGTAAAGCAAATATATGTATATTACAAGTTTTTACAGAATTCCAGCTAGCGAAGCAAATATATACTTAATGAACCTTTCCCTGTGTGTGCAGCTATAAATATATTATGTGAGATGTTACCAGTATGACACTCACCGAACAGTTCCCAGGAGCGGGGCAAACTGGTGATGGAAGAGTCTCCCTTCAAAGATGATCCATGTCACCGAGTCTGCAGTCAGCCAGGGGTCTGCAGCAAGGCTCTGGTCTGTCCCTGAGATCTCATACAGGGAAGCTCTTGCAGAGATCCTCATTTTGGGTAGGTAGCGAGTTACTTTTTATACCTTTTTGGTGTAGAAACCTAAGCGGGCGTAGGACATCAGTTCCCAGAATAGTTGTTGCTGACTTCTGTTTTCCTGGAAGGTCAGTTCATTATCTCAATTTCTTTGTCCTGCCAAGTGCTCCCCATCAGAGAGGTTTTGGCTGAGCTTATCAAGCGTGTCTCAAGACTCCTGGAAAAAAAAGACATCCTTCTTTGTCAGTATGTTTACCGGGTCACCTTTGTGGCTGCTCCATCAGCAGGCTGTGGCTAAAAGAAGTTTGAAGATAAATAGTTGATCAGACACGTAGTACTGTGGGTTTTATAGCGCAGAGTTAAAAAGGACTGTTCACATAGTTTGTCATACTAATTATTGCATGCTAGAAATGATTGGAAAGTAAAACTAAAGTGTAAGAGTGGCCAAATCATAAAAAGAAGAGAAAAAGTGGATTTCAGCAGATCTGAAGTTGGGAGGGTGATTTTAAGGCGTCTCAGCTGGCAGTACATGAACTGTTGACAGTCCAGAGTGGCTTGTGGTGGTGCCAGAACTGACGCAGCCAGTGGTGCCTGGTGTTACAGCTCATACTAAGGATGGGACCAAGCCAGGAAAATGGAGGAAATCCTGGTGGAAGAGAGGCAGGATGGAGAAGGGCTGTGGGAAGGGGCTGCACAGGAGCAGCTGTGCTGAGGACAGGTTGAAAGCCCCATAGGTGAGCAGTGTGGCTGTGTTCAGCGTGCGCTGGCCATGCTGGGTTGCAGGCTTTTGGAGATTTGACAGCATTCAAAGGTCTGCAGCAACTGCTACTGAAAATTTAAGATTTTTTAAAGAAAAGACCAGGCAGGAAAGCAAACCTAGTCTGTACAGGTAAGTGGTTCACAAGCCATGGGTTTTCTTCCTGCGCTGGCTTTGGAAGTCTCTGTGTGGTGAAGGCCATCCAGAGGTCACATGAGAATGAATGAGCCAAAAGAGGATCCTGGGTTTGGGAAATTCGTGTCTCTCTGCCTCCAGCACCGGAACTGGAAAGGGGAGCAGAGGCATGCAGCTCCTGGGAGTGTATGGAGGGACAGGGAAGGGATCTGAGCCCTGGGCTGGGCACTGGTGAGGCCGCCCCTCGCTTGAGTGGGTTCAGTGTTGGGCCCCTCACCCCAAAAAGGCCATTGAATGACTCGAGTGTGGCCAGAGAAGGGCAACGGAGCTGGGGCAGGGTCTGGAGCACAGGTCTGCTGGGGAGCGACTGGGGGAACTGGGGGGGTTCAGTCTGGAGAAGAGGAGGCTGAGGGGAGACCTCCTGGCCCTCTGCAACTCCCTGCCAGGAGGGGGCAGAGAGGGGGGATGAGTCTCTGGAGCCAAGGCCCCAGCGCCAGGCCCCGAGGGAATGGCCTCAAGCTGCCCAGGGCAGGGTCAGGCTGGCTCTGAGGAAGGATTTCTGTGCAGAAGGGGCTGTTGGGCGTTGGAATGGGCTGCCCAGAGCAGGGGGGGAGTCCCCATCCCTGGAGGGGTTGAAGAGTC